AAACATGACCCAGGGAACCTACCCCTGCCCATCTCAGACCTTTACCTACCAAAACACGACCTACACGGACCCTACCCCTGCCCATCTCAGACCTTTACCTACCAAAACACGACCAACAGGGACCCTACCCCTGCCCATCTCAGACCTTTGCCTACTAAAACACGACCAACACGGACCCTACCCCTGCCCATCTCAGACCTTTACCTACCAAACACGACCTACACGGAACCTACCCATCTCAGACCTTTACCTACCAAAACACGACCTACACGGACCCTACCCCTGCCCATCTCAGACCTTTACCTACCAAAAATTACCTACACGGAACCTACCCCTGCCCATCTCAGACCTTTACCTACCAAACACGAGCTACACGGAAACCTACCCCTGCCCATCTCAGACCTTTACCTACCAAGCACGAGCTACACAGAAACCTACCCCTGCGCATCTCAGACCTTTACCTACCAAACACGACCTATACCAAACCTACCACTGCCAATCTCAGACCTTTACCTACCAAACACTACCTACCAAACACTACCTACACGGAAACCTACCCCTGCCCATCTCAGACCTTTACCTACCAAAACACGACCTACACGGAAACCTACCCCTGCCCATCTCAGACCTTTACCTACCAAACACGACCTACACAGAACCTACCCCTGCCCATCTCAGACCTTTACCTACCAAAACACGACCTACACGGAAACCTACCCCTGCCCATCTCAGACCTTTACCTAGTAAACATGACCTCTTATGATAAAGACATGGGACCCAACACTGCAGACTTGTCTTTGTAATTGCAGACATCGGGGGCCGACATCCTGAATCCGGCTTCAATACCTTGCGAGCCAAAGACTTTTAGTAAGTATGCTGTAAACCTCGATTTGTCATTGGCTTGTTCCAGATAGCTGTGCCAGAATCAGGACACCAGGCCTGCAGCCCGCGACTTAAAACACAAACTCATATTCCTGTGCACCAAGACCACCCTCTGAACCAGCTTCATTTCCAAAGGTCTATGGACCAATGGAGAGTCTTGGACAAAGGAGACCAATAGGGAAGCGGTGAGACGCTGCCAGGAACTGGCAGATGATTGGACACCTCTACTCATCACCCCACACAACGATATCTCATTTACGCAAAACTGGTTCCATGTCGGGTCCATGTTAACCCTCACGTGGGTGGTATGATGTATGTACACCTTCTTATAACCACTGGCTGTTCTTACCCAGGACACAACACGGCCATTAAAACATGGCAGCTTGGCATTGTCATCGGAGATCTCTTCCTTCACCACCCTGCAATCACAAAATAAAAACTCCCGTTACTATGTACAAGAGAAAGCAAACGGGTCAGACGACGGGTCAGGTCAGGCATGGTGGTGAGCTCCCTGTTCTTGGGTTCCCCGTTCTGCATGGTGGTGATATATGAAGGATGGGGGGGGAATAGGTGAGATATATGAAGGGTGGGGGTATAGGCGAGATTTATTAGGTAAATGTTGGGGTTCAGGGTCTATAGGTGAGATATATGAAGGGTGGGGGTATAGGAGAGATTGCTGAAGTAATTGTTGGGGTTCAGACTCTATAGGCCAGGGTCTATAGATGAGATATATGAAGGGTGGGGGAGGGTATAGAG